ATTCAGTATTGTTAACTATAGCTACCATGTTTTCCATTAGATCCTTAGGTCTTGTTCATTTTATAGCTGAAAGTTTGTACCTTTTGACCAATATCTTCCAAATACCCCCACCCCCCAGCCTCTGGTAACCACCATTCTGCTGTTTCTATGAGTTCAACTTTTTTAGAGTCCACATATACGTTGATATATATTTTAAACCACCGCACCTGTGAAAAATAAAAATGTAAGCAGGCATAATTTCTAAACCCAAAGGCGGGGGACTTGCAGTACATTCTCCTCAGGGCAGGCAGGCAGTTTATCTCTCAGTAGGGTCACATAGACCTCGGCGACCTTGCTTAACAATAATAGACGATAGCCACAATCTATTAATCTCAACTGTTTTCCTAGAAAGGAAAATGGCTGCACATTCCAAAAATATGGGAATATTTTTCAAGGGTCTCTCATAACAGATTGTTGTAAGGATTAATTGGTATAATAAATAAAATACCTGACCCCTAAAAAGTCATCATCAAATGATAGCTGTTATCATCCCTGTCACCAAGCCATATTGACTCCACCTCAGAAATCTCAGGCCTCTCTTCATCTTATCTGCCATCGCCACTTGTCCTTGACTCCATCAGAACTACCACACAGAACCCATGCTCCCCAATTTGTCTCCAGCCTCCTCCACATCTTCTCTGCTTTCTGGAACAGGTCTGTTTTTCTGTAAATCTTAATTATGGCTTATTTTATAGAAGCACCACTTATTGACTGAGCTAATCTACTAAATGCCTGAGACTCCTGAGACAGTGAATCTCTGAGCCAATTTCACTGAGGGTGTGGGGAGTGGTTAAGGAAAAAACTAGGAGGAGAGGAATATAAAAATATTACCCAGCCATAATGCAAGAATTTTAATTGTTCTGGCATGGTTTTATGCAGGATGGAGAGAGGGCAACTCATGTTAAAAATGAGCTTCCCTCTCAGCTTTAAAAACATACCCTTTGCTGGTCTGATGAAACACTGTGTCACTCCATCTTTGGCAATGTTTTCCTGGGTCATTGAGTTTGTGGTTCGTAGTCTAGTTCTGAGTCTAGCAATGACATCTGCTTGAGTGTTCTAGCAATTAAATTGATGCTTTACACAAAATTTCCTTTCCAGCAAGAATTTTTAAGGCCTCATTGGAACTCCTGGGTGATCTATTGTGCTCATGTCGGGGGTAATATAGCTATTCAATGTGCATGCATTTAGATCATAAAATGTTGTGTAAATGTTGAGTGCCAAGATTCATTGCTGGTATTTTTATGTGTACAGAATAGCCCCAGAAAGTTTCTTTAGTCAGTGAGATAAAAACAATGCTGGGCCTTCAAGGAGCCATCACTCTTTAAGCTCCACTCCCTTCCTCCTCACCACCTTATTGATAGGTTTTCTAGGGAATTAACAATACCTCTCAACCCAAGCTCTTCCAAATCCATTCTAATTCATAGGTCTCCTTCCCTGAGTGATGCCTTAATTTCTGCTGTGCTGTGTTTCAACCTTTATCTTCTCTGGAATATATGGTCACCCACTTTTAAAATGCCTGTCACCAAGAATTTCAGAGTATTCTTCTATGCCAAACAGAGACAGTTAGCCCTGCAGTTATTCTCGTGGTCATTGTGTTTGACCCTAGAACCACTAAATGACTAAATGTCCAATCAGTATTATGTTACTTCCTGGGTATGATAATTTTGGGCAATATGACTTGTTTGTCTCTTGATTTATATATCTTAAAAATGGAGATAGTAATTATTATAGCTTTACTTTAAAATTTAAATAGTTAATATATGTGAAACACTTAAAACAGTTCCCGCGTACTGAGTACTATGTAAGTGTTATTATCATTATTATCTAAAGGGTATGGGTCACATAATTGGGGACTCTGGTCCACATCAGGAGAATTTCTATTAAGTGGAAACCTACAAATGAACAGTTTACTGAGTATATCCAAATTAATTTTGGCAAACTAAACTGTGGAAAGAGCACTAGTTCAGAGAGAAGCTTTAAATTCTATTACAAAGAAGGCCCTGTTCCGATTTTTAATGACATAGCAGGGAAATAATTGTCTGCCATGATAGGAAGTAGGTTTATAGAAAACTAGAAAAAAGTAGCTCAGCATCATTTGGGCAACAAACTGAGCCAGAATAGCCTGTCTGCTAGCACGGATTCTTCTACAAACAGAGGATTCAACTGCCTCCACCTGGGACGAACAGACTCTGTTGAGGAGGATTTGTGCCAAGCCACCTTGCACCTGGCTGGCTTCTCTTTTATACTGGCCTCTCGACTAACAGCATTGCTGCCTTCCGCTTGCACACCACTGTCTCACTGGTCCAGTGACTTGTGACTACAGTAATGGGACTGCACGTTCCCACAATAGCTACGCAGCATGCCCCTGGCAGCTGATGAGAGAAAAGATTGATTGAGAGAATTTTCCTTAAAATATGACTTGATTGTATGATAAGCAGTGAAGGATTAATAAGTCTCTCTTTAGTCAGTTTAGAATATTATATCATATTCCCTCATATTCCAGAAATACACTATACAGTTCCAAATATACCCAACACTAGCTAATCTAGTTTTTCTGCCTATTAACAAAAGTGCACTCACGCTCTCCCCCAAAGTGTGCCCGTGGAAGCCATACCTAAGGACTGCATCTCATCTGCAGAAATGAAATTATGGGGCCGCATCAAAACCTGCTTGCTAGTTTGAGTCCACTGTATCCAAGTCAGGAGGTGTTCTAGTAGTTTGAGCCTATTTTTAGTCTTGTTTTGATGTGATCTCATCCAGATTGCCTGCTTCTTCTTCCTACATTATCTGTTTATTAAATGATAAAATTTAACCATCACCAATATATTACACTTATGGGTGGTCCCAGTTTAGCTGTGCATCAAGACACATGGGAAGCTTTAAACATTAGATTCCAAGACACACTGCAGACCTGTATCAATATTCAAGACTAGAATTCAACAACTTGTATGGTTAACAAATAGCCCAGGTAATTTCTTTTTTTTTTCTAGTTAATTTCTATACATTTATTCTAAGAACTGGTTTGGGGAACAACCGCCTTAAAAAATTAAAGAGCCAAACCAAATATTTTAATTAGTAAAACTGTACTAACAACCATCTTTAAAAAGAGAGAATAGAAAATAAAGGAACGATAACTTCGGTCTTCAAATATTTCATTGATTACCCCACAAAATATACTAGTCTTTACTCTGTTTACAGTCACAAGGTTATGGTTGGTTTTTATGACTTCCCTACCAATCTAATGCCTTTGCATTCAGCAAAGTAAGATGACCTCAACTTTTATTACCCCGTTATTATCATACCTATTTTGGCAATGCAGACGCAGGAGCTGAAGCCAAGGTCATATCACTGATGGAGATGTACTAAGAACCCGACTACTGGTTCTCATGCCTGATCGACAACCAGCTAACTCTGTCGTTTGAACACGTAGATGTGTTTGAGAGATTTAGCACATGACACCTACAGGCATGCAGTCGGAGCTCTTTGCTAAGGTTACCTTTGTCAAACAAGGAGGGACGACATATCTCACTTTTCTTTGGCCCCCATGTGCCAATCATGAGAATACTATTTAGCAGGCGTACTACGGCTCCAAATAAGGTGGAATCCAAGAAAAATTTAGATTCGGACACTTTAGTGGCAATTTTAGGAATATACTAAAGATATCCTCAAAAATAGAGCACCATACATTCTTTTGGAATATCCTATCTGACTTCGGTAAGATTAGAGGTGAGTGCTGTTTGCCCCTATGCATCGACGGAACTCTGTGAAGTCCTGGACTCCTTACAATTGAGATCCAGAGCCAAGAACCACTGACCTTAAACTATATAAAATTAATACATTTAAAAAATGGCAGTCCGTAATGCAAATTTGGAATAACCTCGTTAAAGCATAGCTATGAGTCACGTAGGTTTTCAAACCTCGTTTTAATGACTTTAAACAAAGGCAAGCCAATTGGCACCTGGGCAAGAGGAATTTTATTTTCTTTATTTCAATTGGAGTGAACAATGCTGGCAAATTTAAATGAACCTAAAAAGTTTCCTGAATCACGGTCAGGCCCTTATGGAAATTTTATGTCTCTCTCTGCAAATGGGCAGATTCCTCTGTAAATATTACATGTGATTTAAGCTCCCAGGGAGGGATAGAAACAAAGGTGGCCAGAGAGGAAGCACCTGTGAACTTCGTGGGCGAGGCTCAGGTCAGACCCAGTTACTCAGTTCCACTGGAAAGAGGTATGGGCTTCTTTCTCAGATGCAGAGCTTGTTCTGGACTTCTAGAATGGCTGGTTCCTAAGCATAGACATACCTCCCCACCCCATCTCTCCCTTTAAGATAAAGGATTTCCCTACTTCAAAGCCAATACTCCTCAAGACATTTTTGAGGGTAATGTAATTCCAGTAGGAAAAAGAAACTCTAGCTGGGTTTGAGTCACCCCTTGGTAGGCTCTGTCGCTTTGGAAGAGTTCCTCGTGGAGGCCAATTCTGGGGTTCCTGTATTCCTATAAACACTGAAAAGTACCTTTCTTAAAGAGACCGGTCCCCGATGCCCTGTTTTCAGTATCTGCATGTGGCTTTGAGGGCAGGATTGCCTCATTCTGCTCCTGGAGCCCTGCACAGTGCCCACATACAATTCTGTAGTTTCCGGCTGACTGAGATCCCCCACCAAGGAACTCAACTCTTGACCAGCTCTCACTACCTTTTCTCATCCTTTTCCAACACGGCCTCTGAGATGCAGAAGGAAGACTGATGTGAGACCGCACACGGGGGTACAAGCCCTCCGGTTACTTTCTACTCAGAGATCAAACACATGAATCAAATGGGTCACCCCATGGCCGGTGACCCACTGGGAGGAGAGGCTGACCAGGAGGCTAGATGGCGATCCCATGAGTAGGCTTGTCCTCGGAGAAGGGGTCCAAGCAACGCGGTCGACAGTGTCTTGGCCTCTGCCGAGTTAGTAATAGAGCCCTCACTCGTCAGAGGAGGGGATGGGCTCCTTCTTGCAGGTGCCATGTTTGGCTCGGTGCCGTTGGAGGTGATTGGACCGGGTGAAGGCCTGGCCGCAGTCCTCGCATTGGTAGGGCCTCTCCCCATTGTGCACCCGAATGTGCTGGGCCAGCTCCGAGGCGGTGCGGAAGGCCCTGCCACATTCTGCACAGAGGAAGCCCTTCTCCCCGGAGTGGATCTGCTGGTGCCGCTTCAGGGTGGAGGAGCGGGCAAAGGCCTGGCCGCACTGCGCGCATGGAAAGGGCCTCTCGCCGGTGTGGATGCGCTGGTGGCGCACGAGGCGCGAGGGCTGCGCGAAGGCCACGCCACAGTCCGCGCACTTGAAGGGCCTCCGGCCGGTGTGCAGCGTCTGATGCTCAATCAGGTTGGAGGACTTGGTGAAGCACTTGCCGCAGGTGGGACAGGGGAAGGGCCGCTCGCCAGAGTGCACGCGCTGGTGCTCCAGCATCCGGCTGGCCACCGCGAACTCGCGGTCGCAGGCGGAGCAGCGGAAGGGCTTCTCGCCCAGATGCGTGCGCTGGTGGCGCAGCAGCGACAGCGGCTTGTTGAAGGTCAGGCCGCACTCGGCGCACGGGAAGGGCTTGTCGTTGCTGTGCATGTTGCGCTGGTGTTTGCGGAGGTCGGAGGAGCGCACGAAGGCCTTCCCGCAGTCCGGGCACGCGTAGGGTTTCTCGCCAGTGTGGGTGCGGATGTGTTTGCGGTGGTCCGAGGACCAGGTGTAGGCCTTGTCGCAGAAGGGGCATCGGTAGGGCCGCTCGCCCGTGTGCAGGCGCCGGTGCTGCTGGAGTGTGCCCCGGTGGGAGTAGGCCTTCGCGCAAAGCTCGCACGCGTAAGGCTTGGCGCCTTCCGTCTGCGCGGGGCTCGGGGGGTCGCTGGGCTTCCGGAAGGCCCGCCCACTCTGCAGGCACCTGTAGGGCGTCTCCCCCTGCCGGCCCGCACTCGCAGAACTCTGGTCCTTACTTCTGGTCCCCGTCTTGGGGACACACAAGGGAGAGGTGTTGTCTGGGGACCTGTCTGCACCTCTCTGGGCACAGCAATAGGTTCCAGTACCAAGGACGCTGGACGGGACACCCACGCCTGCGTCGAAGTTTGCCGTCGAGCCTCCATTGTCACCTGCAGGTAATGAGTCCCTGGGAGGTTGCATCTGACCCAACAACTTGTTCGACAGGCCACTCGGGAGGGCGCCCCGAGCCGCTCTTTCTCCAGGGGACTCCTGGATCTGGGGGTTCTTTGATTCATCTCTTCCCACGCTGGCCTTCTTCCCAGGCATCGCCGTAGGTTTCTTCCCAGCATCCCTGGCACTAAAAGAGTCAAAGAAATTCTCTTCCGCCTCACTGGGTGGCTGCTGCCATGGCAGGTCAGGATTGTCCTGAGTCATTTGGGAGCTGCCTCTTAGATGGGCCTGGTGATCAGGGTCACCAGTGCCCCCTTCATCTCCTGCATCCCCACCATCCTCATCTTCACTCTCTAAGTTCATGCTCAGCCTCTGGGGTTCGTGAGGCTCCTCATTCAAGCTGCAGAGAGGAGCCGCCTCGCCCCACCTGTCTTGGGGGTCCACCTGTGCCATGATGTTCAGGCACCTCTATTCTTGGTTCTCCTAGACAGAACCTCTGCTTGACTGAGGATACCTGCAGAAAGGAAAGTGTGGAGAGGACATCACAAAGAATGTGCTTAATTATGTTCAGGGTGGTGGGGACTGAGGTCCTCACTACTGATCTGTTTCCAGCTGGCAGCCATGCCAGCCACACTGCTGCACCGCATGGCGGAAGGAGCGCTGGGCCCTGCTGAAAACCTCCACAGTCGGCCTCAATCCCTTTGGAGGTCCCACTAGCTACAAGACCCATGAGACAATGCTGTCAGCGATGACAAGGGGTAGGGGGACATTTGCTGAGTCCTAGCTGTGCCCTGCCCTGTCCACAGGGCTCAAACCCCAACCACTAGCCTGCTGTGTTCCCCGTGAGCCTGGGAGAAGGCTAGAAGAGAGGGTAGGAAGCCAGGTCTGGTCCTCTCCAGGACTCTTTAACTGTCCGGCCAGACAGAAAGCTCTTGTGGTGCCTGCCAGGAGTGCTGGTCTGCCATCTCGTGGTGTCAGGTGGTGCTGTGTCACAGGTGCTGGGCTGTTGGGCCATCTCTTCTAAAGACAAGCTTCAGCCCCTAGGAGAATGGGGGTGTGTCAGGAAGACACCAGGGTGTTCTCAAGAAGATACCGGCCACCCCTCACTGCTTGGGTAGCACGTCTCAAGCCTCTGTGTTAAAGAGCCCCAAATGCTGGACAGGGGAGAATGGGATGCTCGCGGTAAGCTTGAACTATCTTTGCAATATTGCTTTATCTTAAACATTCAAGTGAATGTACATTCTTTAGTATAAAAAATAGTGTTTTAAGTTACCTTCCATTTAAATGTTTAAACACCCCCCGCCCCCGACACACCCGCCACCTCAAGTGTGCCATATTTATCACATGGCCTCATGTATTGCTGGCACACCCCTACCTACCCCCAGGGGCGAACGTACCCCAACTTGAGAAGCATGGACTTAGGGTTTTGACAGCAAGGCATGAGACAAGGGAGTCATTGAGTTTCATCTCCTAACTGATTTTATTTTAGCTTGAAGACACGCAGAAAGCCTGCTGGGACTGGTGATTAAGGGTTGTTTGTGTGAGTAACACATTTTATAGGAGTTGCTGGAGTGAGAGGCAGTCTTGTGGGGGTCTGTGTGGGGACATTTTCTGACACAGGCCTGAGTTTGCTTTTGTCTTGAGGGAACCTTCTGAGAACCCAGAGGGTGGTAAGACTAGTAGTTACTAGTAGCTCCATTTTCTGGGCAGATGTTATAAGCCAGGTGATATGCTGAGCACTTCACAAGAACGATTTCATTTTGTCCTCCCAGCAACCTTTAAGATAGATGCTATTACTATTGTATTATTCTTCCTATTTTACAGACCAGGAAACGGAGGCTCGAAGAAGTTCTTTACCTGCCCAAGGCTCACGGACCCCAGCTCTGGGGCTTCTAACTTCGAGACAGTTATGTTAAACCCTGAGCTGTGCCACCTCCCAGCTGTGGCCTCCAGACTGAGGCCTGCCCTGGGGCTGGGCCCTGCCCAAGAGCAGCCACAGCCCCCTGGGGGAAAGTGCCGCATTCTGAGGCATCAAAGCCCCCTGTGTTTTCTGGGCCAAGGAACCTTGGCTACGGGGCCTCACTGCCGAGCTCCTCCCTGCTCCCATTGACCCAAATTACCCTCCGCAGGAGAGAGAGGCCTCAACGCAGGCTGCAGAGATCGCTGTCTGGGGTTCTGGGGTGGTCGAGAGTCTTAGTGATCGTGTGTGTACTTTCAGAAAGTCCCTTCTCTCCTCCTCTCCCCTCACCCCGACCCCTTCGAGAAGGGATAAGAGGAGCCTGCCCTGGTGTGATTCCCAGAAGCCCCTGTTGAGGCAGGAGGCCGTCTGTGACTCTCAGCAAGAGATATTCATTCATTCAACTGATGTTTACCAAGCAGTCCAAATCGCATGCTTGTGTGTCCCCCAAATCCCTGAGCCTTGTTTTCTTCATCTGCAAGGCGGAAGTACAACTCCTACTCTATGGTCTGCGTAAAGCACTGCACACGGCCGGCCCTCCGTGGCCACTGCTCTGTTACTCGTGCTGCCAGCACCTGGCACCTCAGCAGGACTTCTGGGAGGTGTCTAGTGGAAGGTCATAGCAGCGTCATTGTCAAGTTCACACAGTAAGACTGCGTCCTGTTATACGGGTCCCCATCTTGTCAAACTGTTCTTCCTCCAGCTCCTGCCTGGGCATAAGCCCCGTTACTGTGTGTGTGTGGCAGAGGGAGGACACAATGCAGTAGCGGCCGGGGTTCGGCGTCTTGTGTGCCCTGAGCTCTATCCCCATAACATGTTGGAGTGTGGCTGGCATGCCTCTTTAGAGGAAACCAGATCTGACATATTTTCAGCATAGTGGTTCTTAGAGTGGCCATGTGTGCATGTAACAGAGGAGATACAGCGGTAGCCAGCTTAACATGACCTGCTCAGGCTAACATGCCTGATCAGTGACTGTGGTCCCCCAGCAAGGACAGCAGGGCATTGCCAGGTGTGGTCGAAACAGACTTCCTAGGCATTTTTCTCTCTCTGAGACAATGCAGTGTGCATGGTTATGTGAAACCGTTTGCAGACTGCTTACCTCGCCCACTCGCCGCCCCACCTCTTACACACACACCCCATTCTGCACAACCCGTGTCTCGTTTCCCTTCCTCTGGGCCGCAGGTGAAGCCTCCCCAAGGCAGCACCTCTACCAGCTCACACCCTCTCAGAAGCTGACGGGAGACTGACTGCCTTTTCAGCCAGGAAATCCCACCTCTGCCTGCAGCCACAGTGACTGTGTTCTGCTTTGCTCTTTCTGTAGCTGCCACAGGCTCTCTTGACCATACGTAAGGAGACGGAGCGGAAAGCAGGGACTCAGGTGGGATATTCACGCAAATGTTCCTGGTCTGGGGGAGGAACACTGATGCCACGGTGTGGCCAGCCCCTCTGTTCTCCAGGTGTGCTGACCCCCAGAGGCTGTCAGAGCACAGCCCTCTCCTGGAACTTTCTCTACACTTGCTAGCCGGGAGCGGCCCAGGTGGACCTCCCCCGCCTCATACTGAACACTTTGCAGAAGCCTGGCCTAAGGACTGCTTGCAGCCCTGGCCCGGCCCCTCTTCCTGCTTTTCTTCCGGAGACTACACTAGGCCTCTGCAGGGCAGCCCCTCCCGCCTCCTCCTCTGCCCACCGCCCAGGCCTTGCTCTCCACCTTTGGCTCAGACACAAACACTTGCTTACCTGGGAAATGCAGATAGCTCTGTGGCACTGGGGGCCCCCCGCCCTGGCTTCTATCACATGTAGCCTCTCAGCAATCAGAAACTGAGTTTGGTACAGGTCAGCAGAGACTCTGTCTCTGTCCCTCATGCTTTTGTGTCCAGTCCAGCAACTGCAGAGAGCTTCAGGAGGTGGGGCCAGTGCAATACACTCAACCTTCCTGCCTGCATCCCAGAGAGCAGCCTGGGAGGTACAGTGGGGCTGCCCTCTCCCACTGCCTGAACTGATCCTGCTGCTCCCTCTGCCCCCACCTCCTCCTCCTGCCAGAGCCAGCCTCCTTCCCTCGCTCCCTCAGTCCTCCTGCAGGTGGCCCTGCCCCTCCTGTTCACTCTCATGCCTTCTTTCCTGCAGAGCCGGCAGTCCATCCTTCAGTCCTACCCTCATATGTCCACTGGCCATTTGTCACCTGTGTACCTTCCGAATAAGCGTGAGTTTTTCCTCCTTGGGAGGCAGCACAAGGTATTCGTCTGTTCTCCCACCTCCCCAATTCTAGTATCCACTTTTTGTTTTGAGAAGAGGTGTTCCCAGAATTTTCTGAAGTGGTCATTGGCTCAAAGATGCCCATGTCCATTTGGCTGTGGGTGAGGGTGCAGGAAGATAGTTTTCTCTCCTTATTCATACAGATTTTGGACCTGTCTGGGACTCTGTCTATCTTTCAGTATTGGTTCCCATAAAGGTTCATTTCGAAGAGAAAAACTGGTCCAGGAAGTAAGACCCAGAGAGTCCAGAATTTGTATCCACTCAAGTCCAATGTGCCTTTATTAGAGTGAATGAATGCTGAAGACATTACCACTCACTAGCTGTGTGACCTTGGGTGAGTTACTTAACTTCTCTGTGCCTTAGCTCCTCATCTGTAAAATAGGGATCGTGATGGTATCCCCATCACAGGGTCTTAGGAGGATTAAATAAGATAATGCACATAAAGAGCTTAGCGTGGTGTCTGGAACGTAATGGTGCTCAAAAAAGTTGGCTGCCCTCATTGCTGTCATGCATGCTGTTGTTTCTCGGGGAGACGTGGCTCGTGGGGCTCCTTTCATGTCCCCGTGGCCGTGGCCGGGCTGCAACACTGACGCCTAACAGTAGTCTTCAGAGTATGATCCGGACAAGTGGACTCCTCTGCCCCTCGCTGTTTTATAGGTGTGGCTTCGGAGGGAGGAGGTGCCCCTAGGTCTTTGGGTCTGAAAGTCCGGAACAGGGTTTAAATCCTGATGTTCCTGAAATTAAGTGCCGGATACTACAGAATATGTGGATGTGCACTGTCCTGGCAAGAGGATTCTTAACTGTCATGCATTTCTCGAAGGGGCCATGATCTAAAGATGGTGGATGACCATTGGGATGTGTGTGTGTGTGTGTGTGTGTGTGTGTGTGTGTGTGTGTGTGTTGGGGGAGTGTAGGATAGAGAAAGTACTTAAAATATCTCCCATAGCAACTTATCAGATGGTGTTGCCACCAACCCACAACCCAGTGCTGCTGCTCAGTTTCCCAGGCGGCCACATCACACAAGCTTTGGGCTTCACACACATTTGGCAAGAAAGTGACTGAATTCCTCGGGAAGGGCCCGTAGAGGTGAAAGCTGGAGCTGGGATGTGCGTGTGTGCGTGTACGTGTCCTTCCCCACCCCCAGCCTCACGACAACCAACATCACTGAGCATTTGCTCGGGCCAACACTATGCTAACACACCACATATCATGTCTCCATGGATCCTCACCATATTCAGAAGGA